TTTTTTTTTATGAGTTTTGCCTACATGTATATATGTGTACCACATGAGTGCCTGGTGCCCGTGAGGCCAGAAGAAGGCCTTGGTTGCCCTGGGACTGGAGTTATGGATGGTTGTGAGCTGCCATGAGATATTGGGAATCAAATCCAGGTCCTCTGCCACATGTGCTCTCGACAGCTGAGCCGTCTCTCCCCGTTTGTTCATCGTTTGTTTTGTTGGTTTTCTTTCTTTCTTTCTTTGTGGCTGTTTTTTGTTTGTTTGTTGAGACAGGGTTTCTCTGTGTAGCCCTGGCTAGCTTAGAATTCAGAGATCCACCTGCCTCTGCCTCCTGAGTGCCACCACTGCCCAGCTTGCTTTTCTATTTTTTTGAGACAGGGATTTCATATTTCACAGTCTTGAACTCCTTGTGTAGCCAAAACGCCAAAATTGACCTTGAACTTTGTCCTACCTGATCCTATTGCTGAGATTACAGGTGTGCACCACCATATCTGGCTTATGTGGTTCTGGACTTGACCCCGGGCTTCATGTATGCTGGGAGAGCTGTCTACCAACCAGCAACATCCTTGTTAGCCAATCATCTTTAAGAGGTGGGTCATAGTTAAGGCGGGGTTTCGCTGGGACCCAGGGAAGAGTCTGTGCACCGGTCTCTGCACCTTTTCCCGCGGGACATTGCTGTGCTTGGATTTCTCATTTCCTGTTTCGTGAGTTTTCCCCTTATACTAAATAAAATATAATTGTTTTATCCTTAGCTAGCCTGGTTATTTTCAACACTCAGTCCCTTTACTTCTTCCTCTCCCCCCCCCGTGTGTGTGTGTGTGTGTGTGTGTGTGTGTGTGTGTGTGTGTGTGTGGTGTGTTCATGTGGAGGCATTTACATGTGTAGGAGTGCATATGGAAGCCAGAGGTCAATATCAGGCCTTCTCTTCACTTGCTCTCCGCTTTGTTTGAGACAGGGTGCTCTGGCTGTCCTGGGACTCACTCTGTAGACCAGACTGGCTTCAAACTCACAGCAATCGGCTTGCCTCTGCCTCCCAAGTGCTGGCATTAAAGGTGTGCACCACCACGCTCAGCTCCACGTTCTGTTTAGAGATGGTTGGGGAGCCCCCAGGATTCTCCCTTTTTTGTCCCCCGAGCTCAGGTGGCAGGTTTCTATCACCAGTTTTTGAGTGGTGAGGGCACTATATAGAAATTCCCTGCAGACAGAAACATCCCCTCCTGGAGGGAGGCAGGGTAAGATTGGGGAACTCAAAGCAATTTTTGTGTTTTGTTTTTGAGACAGGTCCATGATGTAGCTCTGGCTGTCCTGGAACTCTATGTAGACCAGGCTGGCCTCACAGAGATCCACCTGCCTCTGCCTCCCCACGCTGAGATTTAAAGGTGTGCACCACCACACCTGGCTAAATGCAATGTCTAAGGCTCTGGCATTCAACAGTTTACAAGAAGTTCCTGAAACTGACAAGGTTCCCAAGCCCCCAACCCCCACTCCACTAACAACTGCTGAGGGTAGGAGACGGATCAGTGGAGTTTGCTGAAGCCTTGCAGAGAGCACCAGGGTTGGGATGATCTTTTGTGCACTTGCACACATATGTGGACATACACACAATAAGTTAATAAACATAAGGGGCTGGAGAGACGGCTCATTGGTTAAAAGCACTAGCTGCTCTTCCAGGGGGCCCAGGTTCTGTACCCACCGCCTACTTATGGCAGCTCACGACCATCTGTGACTCCAGTTCCAGAGGCTCTGATGTCTTCTCCTAACTTCCATAGCCACTAGGCACAAGAGTGGGTACACAAACATACTATGCAGAAAAGGCACCCATACACATAGAAAAATTTAAACTTTTAAAAATTAGAAACACTTAAAATTAAGTACACAATTTGATTTCACTCCTTGATGTGTGATGCAGAAAAATATATCCGTTCCGGGCCTCAGTATCCTTATCTGACAAATGTAGACAGTAAGCGCTATTTCGCGAAGCTTCTCTACTAAGGTCATCGA